ATGTCTTCGTCGACGTTCTCGAAGGCCTATGTCCCCGGTCCTGAATTTGACCTTAAGCTTTGTTCCTGCATCCATTGGTCCATGTAGGTAGTCCTTGAACCCTATTCCTTCCTTCAGCATTCCGTACACTTCTAGACCCTCTGCATCCTCGGTTTCTTTCCTTGGACNTCCCCGGTCCTGAATTTGACCTTAAGCTTTGTTCCTGTATCCATTGGTCCGTATAGGTAATCCTTGAACCCTATTCCTTCCTTCAGCATTCCGTACACTTCTAGACCCTCTGCATCCTCGGTTTCTTTCCTTGGACTCTGTTCTTCTCTCTCGGCACAAGCAACAGATAACTTCTCCTTGAACCCCTGTAGACCCTCCGTTTCCAGCGTTTCATCTCCGTCGATGTCGAACCGTCCTTTATAACCTTGACCCATTCCATAGGTTGTCTGCCAATCTTTTTGTTTGCCCACTTCGCCTCCCATACTATTCTCGGCAATTTCTCCTCTCCCATACCTCCCCCCGGTGTTTACCATCGGGGTTGTTTTTTTTGTCGCTTGGCAACGACGTTATGAAACAAGATCCCCATCGGTGTTTGCCATCGGGATTGGGTTTTCGTCGCTTGGCAACGACGTTATGAAACAAGATCCCCCATCCGTGTTTGCCATCGGGATTGGGTTTTCGTCGCTTGGCAACGACGTTATGAAACAAGATCCCCCATCCGTGTTTGCCATCGGGATTGGGTTTTCGTCGCTTGGCAACGACGTTGTGAAACAAGCCATTTCACCCCTTGAACTCGGCAACCAGGTTACCGTTTTTTTTTGCCTGTTTTTCTTTTTGGCGGTAACCATAATGGTGGTCGAGTAGATCATGTTGTGCGGGGTGGAGAACCCTCACTCCGCGCAAGGGGGATGATCGCACCACGTTGTGTTAAAATGGTCAAGCACCCTCGAGGCAGTTACACAGTGCTTACAACTGTCTCTGGAAGTGAAAGCACCAGAAAATAAATTAATTCATACGCAGCTGTCATCCGTACGCAAGGAAGTAAGCACAAGATGCCGAACACCCTTAGCAGGATGCAGCGCACCCTTCATGCGACTCGCCGAATATCTCACGGCGCTTCGCGCTTGGTGATGTGAGAGCCTGGTCCGGTGAGAACCCGGCGTGCTCCGTCCCGGCTTTGTAGGGATGCGAGGTCAGTGGTCAAACGACTACGGCATGCACGACTATGAGTACACCCCCCCATACCGCACATGCGATACTGCCATGTCACCAATCAGCTGACCACCTCCCCAACGTCACTGTACCGTGTCAGGTTCGCTGGGCTTTGGGTTGGCGCGAGAAACTGAGATCGTGTGCGGAGTGCGGCAAGACGACGGTTCGTTCGAAAAGATGTCCTACACCTTCGGAGCCAAGGACATGGGCTGGGAGAAGGAGGTACGGGGTTTGCCGCTAAAGAGGCTTGGGGTCACCAGCGGAGGAGGCGGGGAAAAGGGGGGAATGTACGCTATACGCGGCGGAACAACAATAAGAGAGCTACAGCATGCTGTGCAGCATTGACGAGACCTTGGCGTGCAGCTCGCTCTTTTGTTATTCCACGCTGTTGATTTTGCGGACGGATGCAACCCATCGCCAAGGCGCTGATTTGATGTCAGTTGTTGTCCCCCCTCACGTTTCCGTCCATCACTCAGGGGGATCTGATGGGAGCAAAAGACGCAAATGAGACGATAGGCAACATCAAGTCCTTCTCGCTGGAAGGTTCCTCTGGGGACGAATACTTCGACAAGAGGTGCGGACTTGCCACGCTAGCCTTATGTAGACACATCGTTGGCACGATAAATACCTTCATATTGATACAGGCCTTGTTGCATTCGGCCTCCTGTTCGGCAACTGTAATTTCGCTGTGTCTAACGGCTCCGGTGCTAGACTACAATAGTCAGTCTTGCTTCGTCTTGGCACGTGAACATCCTCAGTTACAGTAGTTGCAGAAACACTTGATGTACCCGTTCGAGACAAGGCCCGAATCGCGTGGATGTGTTGAAATCGTTACAGCGAGTGAGTGTCGAAGTCTTTTCAGCGAGTCAGTGTTGAGTGCTGACGAACACCCGTGGATGCCGGACAATTTTTCGTCTCAATCTATTTCGCCGCACGCATTTTCATGTTTGTGGCATGGCTTTGCTCTCTGGAACATCTGACGTCACGCCGGCCGGTTATGCATTGTGCGTGTTTTCACGTAGGCCGCCCATTTTCAGTGCACTTGAATGTCACCGGATCGTTCACCTGACGACGCTCCGCGTTGTGCGCTACAAGACGGCGAAATTTCATCAACGCGTATAGGGTTCAACAGGGACTTTTTTTCTCGCAGTAAAGTCACTATTCCTTCCTTCTATATTTTACGAATGGTAGGCACTAATCATCGCGGCGGGATCAACTACCTCCCTGCTTCCAAGTCTCGTTTGCTAAAGCATGCGCCTGTTTTCCAATGTCGTTTTCCAGGGTCAAGCTTTCAAGTGCTGGACTGGAGGTGGGCATGAAGTGGATAATGGCACGGCTGAAACCATAGCGGAAAAACGGGTTCCACAGCATTATTGTAGAAACAGCAGCCTTCCCAACGAGGTTGTGCGAAATCGAGTGGCTTGGGAACGCACGGCTTACCCAATAGACGGAGCTCGCATAAGTACGGGGGGAATGCCGTACAATAGGAAGAGCACACGGGAGGTTAATTTGAGGTGGTAATGGCATGCGACTACTGTTCTGGTTCTACATAAACCTTTGAACGTCTTTTAGTGACTATTTGCCCTCCTTCTTTGACATCCCGCAAACCGCAAAGCGTTTGGAGCACCCCCTGGTTTCGTTCCTTTCGGCTTTGGGAAATGTGACCACGAGTCATCTGGGCACAAAAAAGTGCAAATAGTCTGTAAATCCTCTCGTGAGCAGTACAATATGGTGTGCATTTTTGGTCATTTGCGGTGGGTGTGATTTCATACCTCCGGAGGAACTTTCAGACTTTTAGGTATGCACACATGGGTGCATGCCCAGATGCCTTATCGCTGCCTTGTGCGGTGATTCATTCTCTGGGTTGGCGTCGGGCACATCCGCCGGAGGCTTGAGCAGTACAGAGCTGCTGTACTAGTCTACACTTGAACGTCCGTTTTCGGTCGAAAATGGTCGCGTTCTCCCGGGCACAGCATTGAGAGCTTAAAAAGAGCATCCCCCGGGCTAGGTGGAGTGGACGTGAAGCCAAAGAATCGTCCGGTCGTACTTGTGTAATTCTTTAGCAGTTGTGTGCAGGTCATCATGGTTGACATCTGACAACAACGTAAACGTGGTGGCCACCAACATCGAGCCAAACGCTAAACTGTAACTCCAGATCAACCAGCAAGATTCGGGTACGCTGAGACAACCAACTATCTCGAACAGGGTGGGTCCCCAAGGTCGGCTGCTACAACAAGTACAAACACGTGAAAGACGGCCGTCTAAACCGTAGCCGGGAGGTAACATGCGGCACAGACAAGGGCAATGTCTTTTAATCACGCATAATTTCTACATACGTGAAGGGAGACGGTGGTCCAAAGCAGAGGAGGAGGGGGAGCTGCAGCTGCAGCTGCAGCCTACCCGAAAAAGTGTAGAAGGTTCAACCTTCTGGTACATGACAAGTTCAGGCACTACGTTGTATCTAAGACTGCCGTTGGAGTGGCTAAGATTTGTACGCAAACACACTGACGATTCGAAGATTCAAAGATAGACTACATTTAATTCCAAGGCAGTGTGAGGCACAGCAGTGTCCGAGGCGAGAGAGCCAGTGGGGCTCCGCCAGTCGACCTGCAGCGGCGACATAGTATATAATTCCGCAAATCTGCCCGCCTCTGCTCCCTCTGCACGGATCAACGGATGGCCCGGAGCCGCGGGGGACAAGGTGTGCGTCTCGCGTCTCGCACCATCCCCCCCATCCTCCTCTATCTTAAGCCACGCTGCGCACCGATGTTGAGCGTACGAAAAACGTGCGACAGGTGCAGCTTCCTAAAAAGGAAATGCGACGGTTCAACTCCGTGCAGGTAAGCTACGCGTCTCTCGTCTCTCGGAGTTCACGCCTCCTACATTGCAGCAGCAGTAGAAACGATGGATGATTCTATGCCATACTGCTGTATCTGCTGAATGTGTTTCTGCATTCGGAGCGCTTCTATTGAGAGGTTCCATCGGCCTCCGAGATGTTCATGAAAGCGCAAGCGCAAAAATAAGTTGACAAGTTATGTAATTTTTTCCGACCGTGCTGCAGGCTGACCAATCACAGATCTGCTGTGTGGGCGTGTGTTTGTGGCGTGTGTTTGAACGCTTGCGCTATGAATTGATTTATTGCTAATCTATCTTAGACTCCTTTCTCGATGGAAACGGATTCGTTGGGTCATACTGATGAAAAATATAACAAACACACGTGTACAGGTAGGCAGGTAGGTGCGTATCGCATGCGCTACATTTTGCCGGCTGACCAATGAAAACACCCCAGTCTTTGTACTTCATGCATGCGTTCCGGGATAACAAACCCAAACTCGAAAATAAAGGGCAGAGGGCTCTACCGACCACCGACAGCGGGGATTGGGCTCAGAAGTTGGACGATAGCCGTTTCCTGCGATGCGTAGACTATGCATACAGCAGTACGTTCGTGTAGAGGATTAAGTACATCCAGAGAGCATTCTTGCTGCATCATGTTCCCGCATGGGTAAAATAAGTGTCATGGCCCTGGACTGAGCTGGTCCTATTCGTAGGTGAAACTGTATGCCCTTGTTGCCTTGTAGCAATTGCAGTTCCGGATGTTTCGACTAGATGCTTGTTATCACTCACACCCGGTTGGGGGGGAAGAACAGGGATCATGCTCTGGTCGCACCACCCATCGCATACCTATGCGTGCATAGGGCACCTGAAACAGTTATTATCTCGTACCATACCGCAGATCCGACCACTGTACATGCGCACTCACACGAACACTTGGCTCTTTACGCGAAAGTAACTTTACCACGCAGTGGGATGCGTGCTTACGCCACCTCAAGTCAGGTTCTTTCGCAAAAACAACACATCAATAAAATCTTAAGAAAACCCGGTCATCGGGTCGACACCCCTCCCAAGAATCGGGTCGACACCCCTCCCAAGAACGGCACTCCGGACAAGCAGGATAGAAGACGCAAATAGCACCGATTCTCAATAACCAAACAGCACGCATCGATACGGCTGCTTTCCCTCACTTGAATAGAACTGCAGATTATCACGTCTTACGAAACTCCCCTCGCTCTGCACTCGCTGCGAGGGGTACGCCACACACAATACCTCTTTCATTCTACGCTCGCGGAAAACACGCCTGGCCATCTACTGGATGGAGAACTTATCATTCTGAGGCTTGCTCCCTCTTACAAGACAAACAGTGATTCTGATCATGGGGCTTCTCCCCTTCTACATGATTAATTAACGCTGGCATAGATTGTGGAGACGCCTTGCTACTGCGAATCTCTCAACAAGGTGGGTACGTCTTGAACATCGATCCACACCCGGAGCAATAACGGGTCAGCTACAACAGCGTCCTCCCCTGCCCATTTCCACCTCACGTACACAAGGTCAAAGACTACACCTGGTACATGGGTCCACAGCTACCTGCAGCAACAACGCAAACGTTGCGACAACAGTGTCCTCCCTTCCCCATTTCCACCTCATGTTGACAACCGTACAATTTCACCTGCACTGGTGTCTGCAACTTTGATACATGGGTCCTGTGTACCCCTTTCTCGGCCGACGCGCTGGATACTGCTTACCCCTAGGCGTGAGACTTCCAACGTCTTTGATACTCCTGGTCCTGTGTACCCCTTCATTTCAGCCAACACGCTAGATACTGGTTTACCTCTGTGCGTTAGTTTGCATCGGCTGCGGGGAGCGCCTGTGCTGCATTCCCTCATTTGATACGCCTGGTCCCACGTACCCCTATTTTCCCGCCCAAGACAAAGTTTTCATCGCCTGCGGACACTATGAAATGGAACCTCCTGTACCGCGAATTCCCATCATAGAGGCTGGTTTTTGGAGACGAACTACCATCGTCGTACAAAACACCCGCGATAACACACCTGCATTTTACCATCGAAAATGACGAACAGCAATTGCTCAACAAAACACCCACACTCAAGAATGGAATCGCCTGAACCGCAAATCCCCTTTTGAAAAATATCTTTGGTTCTGTCATCGTGAGCAAAACTACCATCACTATACGAAAACCAAATAAAAAAATGGAAACGTATAGACCGCGAATCCCCTGTAGAAAATTTCAACAACGTTCTTCACAAGCAAAATACTCAATATCAGTCATGAATCTCAACCAGAAAGGAGCGCCCGCGCCAACGCCGCGTCGTTGTTAACCCTCGTTCAAAAGCACAGCAGATTTCGCGATCTCTTCGTTGTTCCTCTGCGGCAATTCCACGTTCACCAGAATCTCCATGAATGCAATACTCCAGTTCTCTCGGAGCGAGCACTCTTCCCGCGATCAACAGGCTCGTGTTGTGCCGCCCGCTACTTCGTCGCCGCCGTCGTCGTCGCCGCCGCTCCTCTGCTGCCTTATCGATGGGCCTGTCCCAACCGGTCGCTCGTGTGTGTGGCCCCGAAGAATAATCCTCCAGGCTACACCTCGTGTCACCTCGTCCCGTGTGCCCGGGGCAGCCAAGCCACCCCCAGCAGTGCCTCTGCTAGAGCTGCCAACCGCACAGAGAAAGTCGATGGTCTGGAACCCACCAAAACCACCATCTGCAAGGGACGTCAAATGCCCGCACCGGTTCACCTTCCGTGCCCGATCTACTGCTGCGCCCTCGTCCGGCGGCATCATCTGTTCTAACGGCAGCCGCAGCATGCAGCTCTGATAGGCAGCTGCCTGGCGGTGAGATTCCAACAATCCCACCGCCTGATGCGGCGCCTCTTTCAGCACCGTCTGACTCCCCTCGGCTTCCGCAATCTGACTTTGCCTGCAGCAATGACATCTTGTCCATCATCCCCTGCATCCAAACTCCGTGCGTTTTATTTCCCAGCGGGGGGCCAGCGAATGGGTGGCCCGGGGGAGCTACTCCCCCGACTCCACCGGGTGGCACCCCAAACCGTGTGCCCGTGCGCCGCACCCTGCGGCGTTGCCAGCGCCGCTTGAATCCACCCCTTCTGCCCTCGTCGCCCTGGCAGGTGGCATCTGGAGTTGCCCTAGCTTCTCCATGACAGCCGACAGCACCTTGCTCTGCTCCGCTAGCTTCGTCGACAGCTCCGTCACGCGCGGGTCGGTCGTGGTTCCGCCGCCTTCGCTCGCTGGGGTATCGCCAGGCATAGTCGCTACAACGGGGATCCTTCGAAGGAAATTCTAGAGTATTCGTAACCCTAAGTGATATTCCCTTGTTGTTTGCTACCGCAAGCATCAGTTTAATGGATGCGGATGATGGGCAAGGGGAAGCGAATGGACATAGCCCACGTTCGGGATTTGCGAAAAACCCCAGGCAACCAGACGCGCTTTGAATTTGTCAATAATCCCTTCCTTGTTGGTTTCCAACTGAAACAACACTTCGAGACTCTTTCGGATTTGAAAATTTTCTACATCAAGGAAACAATTTTTGAGATACGCCATCGTTCCGAGGATCGTTCGTGACAGTCTCGCCAGAACCCACGATAAAGAAATATTTTCCAGATTTAGAGCGCAGGGAGGCTCGTTTTCTGGAAAATTGTTCACGATTTCCCGATTTAGCAACATCCTTAGATTTATCACATCAAGCACCACACACACGCACACAAAGCAGTCCGCGCGGCCCAACGAAGGCCAGCGCCCAGCGGAAAGGCCCTGGAGTTGGCGCGCCACTAACACAAAAAGGGGGAGGCTACACGGCCAGAAAGCCAAGTTAGATTTGTTGCTCGGCTTGAGGTCAGCAACACGCGCCCGTCACACACACAGGTTGAGGCAAGGGGGAAGAAGAACGCCGGAACCGCGGAGACAACAAACGCCAACGTCGAGGAGGTGGCAGCACCGCCTGGAAAGAGCAGAGGGGAGGAATAGCACGCAGTTGCATCCCGGTGAAGAGGGGCGCGTCCTCTCCCGCTCAAGGGTATTCTCTGCTTCTGCTAGAGAGTGCGTTTGACTTGGGTGTGCCCTCGTCCAAAAAACCCTCTCCCGAACGCTTGAAATGCGACATTGCACTTCGTTCAGAGGCTGCCGGCCATTATGAGTACTCCCTGTCTCCGTGCTGCCGCGAGTTCGTGTGTTGGAGTTGAGGGGGCAGCACAGACACGCATACGCATTCATACACACACACGCAACAGAAGTGGGATCTAGCGCTGTCATCAGGGTGCAGCTGTCACGCAGCGCATCACACAAAATAGCAGAACACCTGCGAACAGGGAAGTTCGTTGGGTGGGATACGAGGACTGTTGCCCCACAGCAAATCACATAAAAGCCGCTTTAATCTACAAATACCTGCACGAAGTTTCCAGGAAACTCTCTTATCTCAAAATTTGCTTCCCTTCATGGAAAAATCTGGACTCCCCAGTCCGAACTTGTATCTAAGAGTAAAAAAAAAAAGGATGATTTTTTTCTACTACAATATTGCATTCGGTGGGGGATGCCCCTCAGCCATCCCTCTTATGGCACCTAATGAAACATTGTCACATACGCGCACAACCATGCTGAGAGTGGCGTCTTTATATTGGTCAGCTTGTTGGAGCGGTTTGTGCTGCAATGATAAAGGACGCACACGTAAGGCGGAGGGGGTCGACACGAACGCAAGAAGTCTAGACAAGAAGCCTCGGTCGATGCGTGCACTCATTGCTCTCCATCATCTGCTGTACTGCCGTTTCTGTCTTCTAACCCGGAGGACATGCTCTACAGTAGCAGCCTCTCACATGGCGGTTCCAACATCATTGCCTTGGAGGAAGCTCTTTTTTTTTGGCGCAGCCGCACTGAGACTGACGTCTGTTCATTAACCAGCCGGTCAGCGCGGTCGTGCTAAGCTAATAATAACGACGCACAAACACCCCGCGTCCAGTATGACGTCTGTTGTGCGGTCTAACGTCACGTCGCAATCAACGCCCTTCCTTGCACAGACGCCCAGTCCTGAAAACGACGATCATGCGCTGAGACTACTAGCAACGGGGGAGAGGGTGACACTCTTTGGTACCCCTCGGGCCTGTGTGCTTGACATGGACAGTCGTAGTAGTTGTGACGATGGATTCACAATTCTTGCGCGACAATTGCTGCTGTACCATGGTTCGGTCGGCAAGACGTCAAAGCCCCCCCAGAGGGAAGCGATATGTTTGAAAATATCCCTTTTCCTGCAGTTTGGAAGACACCGACTGCGAGACAGCAGTGAAACCAATTAGCAACCTGGGTAAATAATGCGTGCGACCTTCTCTTCGGATGTCGCGGGATATGATTTCCACGCCTTTCATGTGGATTTTATTTATACCACGCTCTTCCGCACCCATTCCACGGTCCGCAACACTTTAAGGAGCGTCGCCTTCAGCAGTAGATCCTCTTGGAAGGAATACCTATGACGATTGACACGCCCTTGTCCCCCACGTGTGTTTTGAACCGCGAGCTACTTCCGACGAGGGGAAGAAGCGTTGGCAAGATACTCAGGCCCGACAAACTTCGAAGTGGCAAAGTGAAGAGTTCAACGGCGTCCTGAGCGAATTCCTCGCGAGCAGACGCATCATTCGGTCAGCTTCGTACCGCGCCTGGGCTGCGACCAAGTTGCACCAAGTAGCGCCTTGCCGAAGGCAGCCTCGTCGGTCGAATATAGCGCTCAAATCACCTCGCTCGTGTTCGCTATCGATTATTTCCCTTTCACGCCTGTTTTCAGGGCGTGGACGATACTGGGGTACATGCACGGCTTTGTAGGAGACATGGTGAGCAGGCGCAATGTGAAAGCTTGTGGCCAAACCTGTGCGAAACTCGTATCATCGATGGTTCGCTTGACGAATAAACCTTCGTCAGGGCATCTCAAGTCTAAAGATGCAGATTCAATTTGTTAGCGCGTGGCACGGCACGTTTTCAGTCGAAGCACAGCTTAGTGAATGTTGACCTACCCCATCTGCCAACCTGCCGGCCACCCAGGAAACGTTTTACGAGTATCTGGCACTCTCGGACAGCTTCGTACATGACTCCGCCGAGAGGGGGTCACGAGATTCGCTCCCAGTGGTGAGAATCGCTGGATGGGTGGGACTTGTCAGAGGAAGGCAATTTGCACTTTCCTCGCTCGTATACGAGCGGATGCCTAAGTGAACCGACGGGCCCTTGCATCACATGCAGCCGGCCTTGTACCTCGAAAGCTCCGGCAAACAGTTGGCGCGATGACCAATCGGGTGTTGCTGATGTTGGCCGTGATGTTTCTTCGTCTCGCCAGGGGTTCCTCGAGGTCGTCAATCACGGAGAAACGATCAAGCTCTTCACTGGGACTGCAGAAGAGGAAGAGGTCGAGTCGCTCCTCGCTCAAGAAGTTTCTTTTCCGGGGGTACGTTGATGAATGCCTAGCCTTGAGAGTCTTCATTTCCAGCTGATTGCATATGCACCGCAAGAGAGATCGAGCGTTTGTGTGGTGCAACTCGTGGGTAACGGTTCTCGCGGTATGACCAATTTCACCTCAACCCATCAATGCCTGCGCACGTTTGTCCCCCCGCGTGCACACTTGCTGCCACTCTCGCACGAAGTCGCAACCAAGGCGCACATCTGTCGATACGTGATGCAATATCACAGGGCGAGTGAAATTGGCATCCGACAAACTGTACGCACGCCGGAGGACACAACGTACGTTGGCACGGATCGCACAGTATGCCGACGATGGTGCTGTGAAGGGGTCGACCGTCGGCGATAGACTAGGCGGAGTTTGTTCCCTCTCCTGCGTCCCCCATTGCCACGAGCGTATCTGTGGTCTTGTGGAAGGGATGCAGCTTCAATACCCAGGGTTCGCACATCTTGAAGAAGCGGTGGAGGGGTGAGAAACTTTCTGTTTACTTTGTTGTCGGCTCACCCTATGCATGTCTAGCTTAAGGCTAATATTTTCTTCCTTTTCCTCTGTCGACGCCATACGCGTCAGCCGCTCCCTACACGGTATGATATTGTTCATCCACTAACAACGGCATGCGTTATCCTGTAGTTATTGCCTGCTGTCGTCTTTCCCCACGGGCTGTTTGCCCGAACCCTAGGGTTTGTCAACCTACCCGGGGTATTGGACCGCGGGGAACAAAACGGGGATTCAACCAGACCCGATATTGGCTCGGGTGTTGGCAACCTCATCAGCCACGGGTGAGACAAGCGATGTATCAGAGTGTCTTTCTCGCTGTATTTCGTGTGTTCAGGGGCCTCTACCGCTTCAGTACGTGGATCAGCTCTGACGCCTAAGAAATGGACGGAGCTTGGAGTGTACTATTACTGAAACGGATGTTTTTTGTCGCTTGGAAGTATGTCTTTGGTAGTGGCCATGGCCCTACGCGAAGATATCAAGTAAACCACAGCCGCGGATGAAATGAAGGCTTGCAAGTGAAACCCGCCAACGGATGACAAAACGTGTTGCTTCTAAACTGAGCCATTCCGCATCACGCCTAACCCTGTTCTTTGAAAAAGCGTTAAAAATAAAAAGGGCGCACTGGAGAGGATGGGACGCTGGGTGGAAATCTTGGAGGGTTTCCCTGGACTTTCTCGCTGCGGGATGGGGTAAGTAACATCGATACCGTTCTCCCTGTAGCTTACATGGTGCGTGGTTCATCTATTGCGAATGCGAGTATGTTCATCCACTGTGTGGTTTTCAGCAAAACAAAGTTGTTTGGCACTTTGTGAATGTTGTGGTCCATTCCCCCCACATCCCTTGCTGCCTGAGTATACTTCTCTAACACGAACACGAGGCTCTACTTGTGCTGGGCGCCCGAAAATATGCCGTGGGAATTTTGACCTATTCGTTTGCCCCCACCCTTGATCTGCCCTCTTCATCGCGGTAAGAGATCACAAGGAACATGTCATGTTGACGATGGCTGCAAGCGTCGGTGGATTTAGGGATGGCGCGCTGTACGATCGGCTCCGGAACGCTCTCAATCTCACGCGGCCCCCAGGCTCGTTGGCCTCTCCGCCCTTGGAGGAATGGCAAGGGATATCAGCGTTTTGCGACATTGTCCCGTGCAGGTTCGTTCAGCTTGCCGCAGCAGTGGTATGCGCACATGAATCTGAGGTGATAGATAGTTGTCGTGCCTCTTGATATTGTCCACCTGGGGTGACATCATAATATTTTAGTAGTCAGTAGATCCAGGCCATCGGAAGCCGTTGTGTTTCGCTTCCTGAAGGAACGGTCGACCGATGATCCCTTAAGAGCCCTTCCGGAAGGAGGAAGCGAGCTTAACTTCTAGTTCCGTTGCCCCCCATGCTTTGTTCCATGCATCACTTTCGTCAGGTCGATCGAAGCGCTTTTCGCTGGACGAAAGTAGGCTTATCGCTTACGGCGCCCTTGAAAGACATCAAGGCGCTCAGACCGGAAATCTTACAGAGCATTGGCAGTGTGAGGGAAAACCAAATCTCTTCGACTCCACCGAGTGCGTTGCGCACCCCTTCGGCAATCGACACGTTCTTGGCAGTTGTGGGAGAGGCTCCACAAGGTGATGGAGCCATGGACACCCTGTCTCGGGAAGACGTCTTGCTGGCAAAAGCTTCTGCATCCTCGTTGCTCGTGAAGTCTCGAGTTGAAGCGGTCGGTGACGCTGCTGAGGACCGTACCTGCGGCGATAAAGGCGTATGGCCGGCTGAAGCTGCAGAGTTGCTACACTCGCCGCTTCAGCCCTCGCACGCGCTCGATGAAGACGCACAGGACCACGTCATTGCGGCGGAAGACTGGTTCGCCGTAAAACACGCTATGCTGGCGTCCAGTGACAAGCACAACGGGACCTGCAGTTAATCTGTGTTGTTGCCAATGTCATTTTTGGTTGAACGGACGGGCCGGCGCGCCACAGGGTCGATTCCCTGTTCATTCTTTGCGAGGTGAGCGGAGCACGTTGTCACATTCTTAGGTATGTAGGTGTGAGAGGTAGTAAGTGGTGCTCGTCCGCCCAGGCCCAATGGTGAACGAATCTCGTTGTGCGACGATCGCCAAGATTTGGGGGTACTCCTTGTTTGCGTGATTTCCGACTTGCTGAGAGTCAAAGCTTGTACGTTTTTCGCTTAATTGGTCGTCAATATTCGTGGGAGATTTCCTCGCTGAAAGCAGAGGGAAGCGAAACAAAAAGGCTGTGAATATCCCTCCTTGTCCGCGTGGATGGTAGATGAAATTCCTGGATAACCTGGATGCGTGCTTGAAGTGATGATGCGAATGAATGATATCGATACTTGTTTCGGCTCATGTACATGTTGGTGAGGGAGGCATTCGGAACGTAAAGTGTTGAGGCGGTCTTTGTCTCGGACGAATGATGCGCTGCCGTGGGTACCGCATCACTAGCTACTGCTGACAACCCTCCTTCAAGGGTTTACGGTCCGTGGCAGCGAGCACGGCTATGGCAAATGTTGGATGCCACTTGGTTCCGGCGCAGATCTCGGATTGCTCTAAGAGGCTGCTGCGACTTCGATATTTCAGGGCCAGTAGCAAACCTGAACGTGCCAGCACGCACGACGCGTGCCTCTTCATGGTATCCTCTACTGATGGCAACAGAAACCCAATGCTAATGCTCAAAACTGCCCTTTGAGCGCCTGCCGTTTTGGCTGTTTTGACTTCAATATTGAACGGTGTGAATATTCATGTTGATTTCAAGGAGGCGTGTGGAGGTAGGCGCGTGAAATGAAGACTTTGAGCAGTCTCTACTGCCGCCCTGTGCGAGAGTAAGCAATTTCTTTTTTTTTGCGATGTCTTCCGACTGGTCTGTATCTCTTGTGTATTTTTGTGGTGCTCTTGCGTTTGCTTTCAAAACTAGCCAACAGCGAAATTCTTTGTCGTCAGACCCTTAGGCAGTAACAGTCGGATCGGGTTCCGGAGCCCCCCCCCTGAGCAAAAGCCTTTACCGTTCAAAGAAGCGGTCTGCTGCAACGGTAGAAAGCTGAAACTCGCTTGTACTAATGCAGAAGTGTGCTGAGGGATAGTGTGACGAAACCGGAGCAGCTCAGACCCCGTCGGCTGACCATCTCCCCAACGTTACCGCGTTGGGTTCGCTGGGCTTTGGGTTGGTGCGAGAAACTGAGATCGTGTGCGGAGTGCGGCAAGAAGACGGTTCGTTCGAAAAGATGTCCTCACCTTTGGTGTAGAGGACATGGGCTGGGAGAAGGAGGTAAGGGGTTTGACGCTTATAGGCGCGGGGTGACCAACGGAGGGGGCGGGAAATGGGGGCAATGTACGCTATCGGCTGCGGAACGACAGCCAGAGAGCTACAGCATGCTGTGCAGCATTGACGAGACCCGTGGCGTGCAGCTCGCTCTTTCCACGCTGTTGATTTTGCGGACGGATGCAACTCATTGCCACGACGTTGATTTGATGTCAGTTGCTGTCCCCCTCACGTTCCCGTCCATCACTCAGGGGGATCCGATGGGAGCAAAAGACGCAAAGGAGACGATAGGCAACATCAAGTCCTTCTCGCTCGAAGGTTCTTGTGGGGAAGAATGCTTCGACAAGAGGCGACAAGAGGTGCGGACTTGCCACGCGGGCCCTAGACACATCATCAATGACGCGATGAAAACCTTCATCTCCTACTTCGACGTAGTACTCAAATATCTCTCGCTGTGTCTGTAGAGACTCGAATGCATAGCCTACAGATAGCCCCCGTGCTTAAGAGCTTGGCAACTTGGTCGAGAAATTGAAATAGCCTCGCAAAACTCAAAATCTAAGGACTGGAGGACCATTTGTGACATGGTCAAGAAGAACTTTTACATTTTATAGCCGGCGAGGCGAACTAACGACCGCAGCCGCCGGAACTGGCGGCGCTCTCTGTAGTCAGCTACCTCTTCGCACATGAACATCCTCAGTTAGTTTCAGACCGCACCCGTTCAACATATGGTCTGAATCGTGTTTGATGTGTCGAGTTTCTTTACAGCGAGGGAGTGTTGAGTGTTGATGAAAACCTGCTGCTAGATGCCGGAATTTTTTTTGTCTTACTTCATTCTGTTTCGTCGCACGCGTCTTGTTCACGCGGTGGCTTTGCTCCCGATAGTACCTGAGGCCATGCCACCCGTTTATGCATTGTGCATGTCTTCGTGAGTAGGTCGCCCATTTTCAGCATCACTTGATGTCACGGGATGTTCATTCGACGCCGTTCAGCATTGAACGAAAAGACGGTGCCACTTCATCAACGCGTGCAGGGTTCAGCAAGGACGAAAATTTCCGCAGCATAGTCACGATCTGTGTCGTATCTTATGGAACATCGCTTTCTTTCCTGTCAATTATTACGTAGTATTAGGCTAGCACTAATTTTCGCGGCGGGATCAACTTCCCTGCTTGCAAGTCTCGTTTTCTAACTCATTCACCCGTTTTCCCATCAATGTCCTTTCCAAGGGTCAAGCTTTCAAGGGCTAGGCTGGAGGTTGACATGGAGTGGATAATGACACGGCTGAAATAATATTTCCAAGTAGTAGTGGAGAACCGGGCTCCGCAGCATTCCGCCAGAAGCCAGAAACGACAGCCTTCCTAGGGAGGTTGTGGGATCTCAAACGGCTTGGGAGCGCATGGCGTACCCGATAGCCTAAGCTCATAGCAGTACGGGGGAAGTGCCGTGCTATCGGAAGAGCACACGGACAGGAGTTTCATTTGAGGTACACGCTTTTTTCTGGGTGCGACTTCAGCACTGGTTCTCCAGGAGACATTTTCCATGACTCTCTTTTTTATGGGTGTTTGCCCCGCTTCTTCGACATCATGCATACCTCAACGCGTTTGGATGAGCCCCTGGTTTCGTTGATTAAGGCTTTGTGGTATTATTAAGGGAAATGCGGTCACGAGTCTTCTCAGCACAAGTAAGTGTAGTTGTGGAGGGACTGGCCGGGATTGGACAGTCAACATACTCTCGAGTAAATCAACAAATGGTACTGGAAGTATGACTTATGGTCATTTGCGGGTGGGTGTGTTTGCACACCCCCGGAGTGCCCCCCCCCTCCCCATTCTAGACTTAAGTGGGTTGGCGCTGTTTTCAAAGCGCTGTAAAACACGCCACCCCAAATATAGCCCCCATAGTACGCGCTTCTACCAAAGACGCGTGGCGCATGGGTGAGTGGAGTGAGAATAGCTTACAGAAACCTCACAGGTTGAGTGATGTAGAAGATTGCCGGACACATAGACGTGTTGAGTGATTGTAGCTGTATACTGAAACCCGAAGGGTTGAGTGAGGTTTGAGATTGCCAGACACATGAACGAGTTGGGTGGGGATTACTGCATACTGAAACCCCGCGGGTTGGGTGATGTTGGAGTGCCGGACACATAGACGCGTTGAGTGAGGATAGACACATACTGAACCTCGCACGTGATTTGTGATGGAGATTACCGGACACATAGACGTGTTGAGTGAGGATGGCTGCATACTGAAACCTCACAGATGCATTGGTTTTTGAGTTGCCAGACACATAGACGCGTTGAGTGGGGAAAGCTGCATACTGAAACCTCACAGGTGGATTGGTTTTTGAGTTTGCCATACTCATAAATACGCTGAGATGGGATAGCTACATACTGAGACCTCACGAGTTGAGTGATGTTGGAAAGTGCCGGACACATAGACGCGTTGAGTGAGGATAGACACATACTGAACCTCGCACGTGATTTGTGATGGAGATTACCGGACACATAGACGTGTTGAGTGAGGATGGCTGCATACTGAAACCTCACAGATGCATTGGTTTTTGAGTTGCCAGACACATAGACGCGTTGAGTGGGGAAAGCTGCATACTGAAACCTCACAGGTGGATTGGTTTTTGAGTTTGCCATACTCATAAATACGCTGAGATGGGATAGCTACATACTGAGACCTCACGAGTTGAGTGATGTTGGAAAGTGCCGGACACATAGACGCTTTGAGTGAGGAAAGACACACACTGAAACCTCAGGCGATTTGCATTGGAGGTTGCCGGACACCTAGACGTGTTGAGTGAAGATGGCTACATACTGAAACCTCACAGATCGATTGGTTTTTGAGTTTGCCAGACACATAGACGCGCTGCGTGGGGATAGCTACATACTGAAACCTCACGAGTTGAGTGATGTTGGATAGTGCCGGACACATAGACGCTTTGAGTGAGGAAAGACACACACTGAAACCTCAGGCGATTTGCATTGGAGGTTGCCGGACACCTAGACGTGTTGAGTGAGGATAGCTGCATACTGAACCCTCACAGATGGATTTGTATTTGAGTTTGCCAGACACATAGACTCGTTGAGTAGGGATAGCTGCATACTGAAATCTCACAGATGGATTGGTTTTTGAGTTTGCCAGACACATAGACGCGTTGAGTGGGGATAGCTACATACTGAAACCTCACGAGTTGAGTGATGTTGGATAGTGCCGGACACATACACGCTTTGAGTGAGGATAGCCGCATATTGGGACCTAACGGGTTGGGTGACGTTTGCGACTGCCGGACACATGGACGCATTGAGTGAAGAAAGTTGAATACTGAAACCTCACAGGTTGATTTGTATTGGAGATTGCCGGACACATAGACGTGTTGAGTGAGGATAGCTGCATACTGAAACCTCACAGATGGATTGGTTTTTGAGTTTGCCAGACACATAGACGCGCTGAGTGGGGATAGCTGCATACTGAAACCTCACAGATGGATTGGTTTTTGAGTTTGCCAGACACATAGACGCGCTGCGTGGGGATAGCTACATACTGAAACCTCACGAGTTGAGTGATGTTGGATAGTGCCGGACACATTGACGCTTTGAGTCAGGAAAGACACATACTGAAACCTCACAGGTTGATTTGTATTGGAGATTGCCGGACACATAGACGCGCTGAGTAAGGATAGCTGTATACTGAAAATCCACAGCAGCTACAGTGAGGGGACAATTCGAGGATGCAGTACACACAGACCCGACCCCCAACCAGTAGCCGAACCCCCCCTGAAAAATAGAGGCCATGCGCCCCCCCCCTCTCTACCTCCCCCAGAGGATGAGGAAGGTACAGTCCAAAGTAAGCACATGCTTACCTAAGATTAATGCCTATTGGTACGGTATTAAAAATAATACGAAAGTCCCCATTGGTCGGTGGACTTAGAGCTAAGTCACCCCAAAACTCTCCGGCGTGAGATCCAAAATGGATCGGACAGTAGAGAGGGGGGAGGGTGTTCGTTGCTTGAAGTGGACCAATAAGACATGGAGTCAAAGCAAGCTTATTACTCACGTCGAGCAAGCTGAACGACCGGACCAACCACGCAAAAACTGCGGAGCTAGATGTGCGGCACGCACAATGCAT